GGTCATTTCTGGTTATTCTAGAGAAATGCCATTTTTTTTAGTTGATCTTGGATATTACACTCCTGCTAGACTTTCTTACTCTAATATTGTATGATTTCTTTTGTATTTCCTGGGCAGATAATCATATCATCTCTAAATAGTGACAGCTTTATTTTGTTCCTTCTAGTCTTTCTACCTCTTACTCTATTTTCTGTCCATATAGAATGGACAATACTATATTAAGCAGTTACAGGGGTAGTGGGCATCATTGTTTTGTTCCCAGTCTTAAAGGGAATGTGTCTGAAGTTTCCTCATTTGGTATAAAGTTTGTAGGTTTTTGGTATTTAATCTTTACTGAATTAAGGAGGTTCCTTTCCAGTCTGCTAAGGATTTGTTTGTTTTTTAAAATTATAAATTTGAGGAATTCTATCAAATGCTTTATTTGCATTGATTGAAACAAATCATACATTATTTTTCCTTTAGTCTGTTAATGTGGTGAATTACCTTAATAGACTTTTTGATGTTAAACCATCATTGCATTGTATTTCTGGAATAACTACCTCTTGATATATTATTTTTATAATAAACATCTGAATTTCATTAGCTAATACTTTATTTAGAATTTTTACGACTACATTTATAAGTTGAATGGGCTTATAATTATCTGGTTATAGAATCATGCTACACAAGCCTTGTAAAACCAGCTAGGCAGCTTTTGTGCTATTTTCTGAAATAATTTATATTGAGATTCAATTTATTTAAAGTGAATGCATATATAAATTTGGTAGAATTCACCTACAAAATGATCTGGACCTGAATTTTTCAGGGAAGAAGACATCTTTAGTTATAGTTTCAATTTTTATTACTTATTAGACTAAGTTTACTATTTCTTTTTTGAGCCAATTTGACTTTTTTTCAAAATTTATCCATTTCATCTTGATTTTTCCAACGTATTATCGTATAATACTCTTAAAATATATTATCATATAATAATATATTTGCCTGTTAACATTAGTATTTTCTTTTTAAATCTCCGTGTGCTCCTTTGTTTCTGTATTGTGTTAATTTGCATATTCTTTTTTTCTTGGTTAGTCTTGTCACAGGTCTATCTCAGGATTTGGCAAACTGTGACCCTCAGGCTAAACGTTGCTGGAAGACACACCCTTTCATTTACATATGTGTAATAGGGCTGTTTTCTTGCAATAGCAGCAGAATTAAGTAGTTGTGGAAAAGATTATAACATTTATTAAAAAGTTTACCAACACCTAAACTATTTTATCAGTCCTTTGAAAGGATCAGCCTTTTCATCTGTTCAAATTTTTATTCTCTTTTTTATTTCTGCCTTTTATTTTTTTTCTTCCTGTTTCTTCAGGTTTGCGCCATTACTTCTTTAATTTCTTGAGTTAGATGCTGATTTTTTTAATCTTTCTTATTTACTGATAACTATATTTAAAACTATTTTTTTCTCTACAGAGTTTTGCTTTTTGTTATAATTCAGTTCTAACTATTTTCTGAATATCGTGTATGCTTTCTTTATTGTGGTAAAATATATATAACCTAAAATTTTTACTTTAACCATTTTTAGGTGTCCGATTCAGTGGCATTAAGCACATTCAGTGATGTTGTGCAACCATCACTACTACCCATCTCCAGAACTTTTCATTTTCCCAAACTGAAACTCTGTACCCATTAAAACAATAATTCCCCCAGTCCCTGGCAGCCACCATTCTATTTTCTGTCTCTGTGAGTTTGAGTACTACCTTATATAGGTGGAATCATACAATATTTGTCCTTTTGTGTCTGGCTTATTTCACTGAGTATAATGTCATCAAAGCTCATCCATGCTGTAGCATGTGTCAGAATTTCATTCCTCTTTAAGGCTAACATTCCATTGTATGTTTATACCACATTTGGTTTATTCATGCATTGATAGACAGTTGAGTTTTTTCCATCTTTTGGCTATTGTGAATAATGATAACATGAACATTAGTGTACAAGGTTTTTGTGTGGACTTATATTTTCATTTTTTGGGGGGTGTATACCTAGGAATGAAATAGCTGGGTCATATGGTAATTCTGTGTTTAACCTTTTGAGGATCTGAATCTCTCTTGAGCTCAACCTCTAAATTGAGACTTGGGTAGTTATTTTCTGATCTCAGGAGTTTAAAACACTAGGTTTTAGTCCTGGCATTACCATTGGTAAAATTTGTGATCATGAACCAGTAACATTACTGTTTCCTCTGTGGAGTAGCAGCCCCTTCTCATGGAGTTGTTTTAGTTAAATCTCACATATGAATGTCCATGAGGAACCTGAACCTTAACAATACCCTTCTCTCCGTGGGTACCTACCTCCTCTTCACCTCCATGCAGCCTTCCTCGTGCTTGGGTTTTCACAATAAAGCTCCCCAAGGTCAGACCTTACTCGGTAAACAAGAGGGCTTTACAAGAGAAATTCATGAAGACAGCTTGAGTCTAATAAAAATGCTATCAGAGAGAGCCAAATCCAAATTTAGCTCAGTCCTGGACAGTGAGGACCTCGAGGGCCAGTCCGCATCTGTCCTGCTCGCTGTGCTGGCCTCGTGCCCTGTTTCAGTTCCGGGTACCCAGTCAGACTTGGTCCGTATTTGTGGAACGAGTGAAACTTAAATTTATATTGTGCGTAGTAATCCTACTTCTGGGAATCTATCCTAAGGAAGTGATTTTTTACCCTCTCAGGTAAAAAAAATTTGTGTGAAGATGTTAATTGCTATTTTATTTTAGATGGAAAAAATGGAAAACAACCTAAATGCTAGCTAGCATGGTAGGCAAGTGGTTCAGTAAATTGTGAAATGCTCTTTGAGGAAACAGTAATCTAAAGTCTGAAGATTACATGGAAACACAGAAGGAAATTTATGAGTGGGGAAGAAAACACTAAGTTTTACATTGTTTTATTAAAACTGTATAAAGTTTAAAGTTACTTGTAAAAGTCATTAAAAAAGACTAGAAGGAAATACATTAGAATGCTAATGTTTTATAATGATAGAATTATGGTTATCTTTTTTCTCATGTTACATTTTTTTT